GGTGTGGCTAGGTGTGGCTAGGTGTGGATGGTGTGGCTAGGTGTTGATGGTGTGGCTAGGTGTGGATGGTGTGGCTAGGTGTTGATGGTGTGGTTAGGTGTTGGGTGTGGCTAGGTGTGGATGGTGTGGCTAGGTGTTGATGGTGTGGATGGTGTGGCTAGGTGTGGATGGTGTGGATGGTGTGGATGGTGTGGATGGTGTGGCTAGGTGTTGATGGTGTGGCTAGGTGTTGATGGTGTGGCTAGGTGTGGATGGTGAGGCTAGGTGTGGATGGTGTGGATGGTGTGGCTAGGTGTGGATGGTGTGGCTAGGTGTTGATGGTGTGGATGGTGTGGATGGTGTGGCTAGGTGTTGATGGTGTGGCTAGGTGTTGATGGTGTGGCTAGGTGTGGATGGTGTGGCTAGGTGTGGATGGTGTGGCTAGGTGTTGATGGTGTGGCTAGGTGTGGATGGTGTGGCTAGGTGTGGATGGTGTGGCTAGGTGTGGATGGTGTGGCTAGGTGTAGCTAGGTGTTGATGGTGTGGCTAGGTGTTGATGGTGTGGCTAGGTGTTGATGGTGTGGCTAGGTATGGATGGTGTGGCTAGGTGTTGATGGTGTAGCTAGGTGTGGATGGTGTGGCTAGGTGTGGATGGTGTGGCTAGGTGTGGATGGTGTGGCTAGGTGTAGCTAGGTGTTGATGGTGTGGCTAGGTGTTGATGGTGTGGCTAGGTGTTGATGGTGTGGCTAGGTGTTGATGGTGTGGCTAAGTGTAGCTAGGTGTTGATGGTGTGGCTAGGTGTTGATGGTGTGGCTAGGTGTTGATGGTGTGGCTAGGTGTGGATGGTGTGGCTAGGTGTTGAGTGTGTGGCTAGGTGTTGATGGTGTGGCTAGGTGTTGATGGTGTGGCTAGGTGTTGATGGTGTGGCTAGGTGTTGATGGTGTGGCTAGGTGTTGATGGTGTGGCTAGGTGTTGATGGTGTGGCTAGGTGTTGATGGTGTGGCTAGGTGTTGATGGTGTGGCTAGGTGTTGATGGTGTGGCTAGGTGTGGATGGTGTGGCTAGGTGTGGATGGTGTGGCTAGGTGTGGATTGTGTGGATGGTGTGGCCAGGTGTTGATGGTGTGGCCAGGTGTTGATGGTGTGGCTAGGTGTGGATGGTGTGGCTAGGTGTTGATGGTGTGGCTAGGTGTGGATGGTGTGGCTTGGTGTGGATGGTGTGGCTAGGTGTGGATGGTGTGGCTAGGTGTTGATGGTGTGGCTAGGTGTGGATGGTGTGGCTAGGTGTGGATGGTGTGGCTAGGTGTGGATGGTGTGGCTAGGTGTGGATGGTGTGGCTAGGTGTGGATGGTGTGGCTAGGTGTGGATGGTGTGGCTAGGTGTAGATGGTGTGGCTAGGTGTGGATGGTGTGGCTAGGTGTGGATGGTGTGGCTTGGTGTGGATGGTGTGGCTAGGTGTGGCTAGGTGTGGATGGTGTGGCTAGGTGTGGATGGTGTGGCTAGGTGTGGATGGTGTGGCTAGGTGTGGATGGTGTGGCTAGGTGTTGATGGTGTGGCTAGGTGTTGATGGTGTGGCTAGGTGTTGATGGTGTGGCTTGGTGTGGATGGTGTGGCTAGGTGTTGATGGTGTGGCTAGGTGTTGATGGTGTGGCTTGGTGTGGATGGTGTGGATGGTGGTACCACTTCTATTCTTATGTTGATGGTGTGGCTAGGTGTGGATGGTGTGGCTAGGTGTTGATGGTGTGGCTAGGTGTGGATGGTGTGGCTAGGTGTTGATGGTGTGGCTAGGTATGGATGGTGTGGCTAGGTGTTGATGGTGTGGCTAGGTGTTGATGGTGTGGCTAGGTGTAGCTAGGTGTTGATGGTGTGGCTAGGTGTTGATGGTGTGGCTAGGTGTAGCTAGGTGTGGATGGTGTAGCTAGGTGTTGATGGTGTGGCTAGGTGTGGATGGTGTGGCTAGGTGTTGATGGTGTGGCTAGGTGTGGATGGTGTGGCTAGGTGTGGATGGTGTGGCTAGGTGTGGCTAGGTGTGGATGGTGTGGCTAGGTGTTGATGGTGTGGCTAGGTGTGGATGGTGTGGCTAGGTGTTGATGGTGTGGTTAGGTGTTGGGTGTGGCTAGGTGTGGATGGTGTGGCTAGGTGTTGATGGTGTGGATGGTGTGGCTAGGTGTGGATGGTGTGGATGGTGTGGATGGTGTGGCTAGGTGTTGATGGTGTGGCTAGGTGTTGATGGTGTGGCTAGGTGTGGATGGTGAGGCTAGGTGTGGATGGTGTGGATGGTGTGGCTAGGTGTGGATGGTGTGGCTAGGTGTTGATGGTGTGGATGGTGTGGATGGTGTGGCTAGGTGTTGATGGTGTGGCTAGGTGTTGATGGTGTGGCTAGGTGTGGATGGTGTGGCTAGGTGTGGATGGTGTGGCTAGGTGTTGATGGTGTGGCTAGGTGTGGATGGTGTGGCTAGGTGTGGATGGTGTGGCTAGGTGTGGATGGTGTGGCTAGGTGTAGCTAGGTGTTGATGGTGTGGCTAGGTGTTGATGGTGTGGCTAGGTGTTGATGGTGTGGCTAGGTATGGATGGTGTGGCTAGGTGTTGATGGTGTAGCTAGGTGTGGATGGTGTGGCTAGGTGTGGATGGTGTGGCTAGGTGTGGATGGTGTGGCTAGGTGTAGCTAGGTGTTGATGGTGTGGCTAGGTGTTGATGGTGTGGCTAGGTGTTGATGGTGTGGCTAGGTGTTGATGGTGTGGCTAAGTGTAGCTAGGTGTTGATGGTGTGGCTAGGTGTTTATGGTGTGGCTAGGTGTTGATGGTGTGGCTAGGTGTGGATGGTGTGGCTAGGTGTTGAGTGTGTGGCTAGGTGTTGATGGTGTGGCTAGGTGTTGATGGTGTGGCTAGGTGTTGATGGTGTGGCTAGGTGTTGATGGTGTGGCTAGGTGTTGATGGTGTGGCTAGGTGTTGATGGTGTGGCTAGGTGTTGATGGTGTGGCTAGGTGTTGATGGTGTGGCTAGGTGTTGATGGTGTGGCTAGGTGTGGCTAGGTGTGGATGGTGTGGCTAGGTGTGGATGGTGTGGCTAGGTGTGGATTGTGTGGATGGTGTGGCCAGGTGTTGATGGTGTGGCCAGGTGTTGATGGTGTGGCTAGGTGTGGATGGTGTGGCTAGGTGTTGATGGTGTGGCTAGGTGTGGATGGTGTGGCTTGGTGTGGATGGTGTGGCTAGGTGTGGATGGTGTGGCTAGGTGTTGATGGTGTGGCTAGGTGTGGATGGTGTGGCTAGGTGTGGATGGTGTGGCTAGGTGTGGATGGTGTGGCTAGGTGTGGATGGTGTGGCTAGGTGTGGATGGTGTGGCTAGGTGTGGATGGTGTGGCTAGGTGTAGATGGTGTGGCTAGGTGTGGATGGTGTGGCTAGGTGTGGATGGTGTGGCTTGGTGTGGATGGTGTGGCTAGGTGTGGCTAGGTGTGGATGGTGTGGCTAGGTGTGGATGGTGTGGCTAGGTGTGGATGGTGTGGCTAGGTGTGGATGGTGTGGCTAGGTGTTGATGGTGTGGCTAGGTGTTGATGGTGTGGCTAGGTGTTGATGGTGTGGCTTGGTGTGGATGGTGTGGCTAGGTGTTGATGGTGTGGCTAGGTGTTGATGGTGTGGCTTGGTGTGGATGGTGTGGCTAGGTGTGGATAGTGTGGCTAGGTGTGGATGGTGTGGCTAGGTGTGGATGGTGTGGCTAGGTGTTGATGGTGTGGCTAGGTGTTGATGGTGTGGCTAGGTGTAGCTAGGTGTTGATGGTGTGGCTAGGTGTTGATGGTGTGGCTAGGTGTGGATGGTGTGGCTAGGTGTTGAAGGTGTTGCTAGATGTTGATGGTGAGGGTAGGTGTTGCTAGGTGTGGATGGTGTGGCTAGGTGTAGCTAGGTGTGGATGGTGTGGCTAGGTGTGGATGGTGTGGCTAGGTGTGGATGGTGTGGCTAGGTGTGGATGGTGTGGCTAGGTGTGGATGGTGTGGCTAGGTGTTGATGGTGTGGCTAGGTGTTGATGGTGTGGCTAGGTGTAGCTAGGTGTTGATGGTGTGGCTAGGTGTTGATGGTGTGGCTAGGTGTGGATGGTGTGGCTAGGTGTTGAAGGTGTTGCTAGATGTTGATGGTGAGGCTAGGTGTGGCTAGGTGTGGATGGTGTGGCTAGGTGTAGCTAGGTGTTGATGGTGTGGCTAGGTGTTGATGGTGTGGCTAGGTGTTGATGGTGTGGCTAGGTGTTGATGGTGTGGCTAGGTGTTGATGGTGTGGCTAGGTGTTGATGGTGTGGCTAGGTATGGATGGTGTGGCTAGGTGTTGATGGTGTGGCTAGGTGTTGATGGTGTGGCTAGGTGTGGATGGTGTGGCTAGGTGTGTATGGTGTGGCTAGGTGTGGATGGTGTGGCTAGGTGTGGATGGTGTGGCTAGGTGTGGATGGTGTGGCTAGGTGTGGATGGTGTGGCTAGGTGTGGATGGTGTGGATGGTGTGGCCAGGTGTTGATGGTGTGGCCAGGTGTTGATAGTGTGGCTAGGTGTGGATGGTGTGGCTAGGTGTTGATGGTGTGGCTAGGTGTGGATGGTGTGGCTAGGTGTGGATGGTAGTACCACCTTCAATAAGCAAAGAGAATATTTGAACGCTATCACATACCACGACCCACAACTCTAAAGGGGAATTCCCCTCAGAAACCCCGAGTTCTAAAAATAGAATTTAGGCTCAGTGGACCGCTGACAGGTGGGGGATAGAGGAGATGGTGATAGAGGGCAGGTAGATGGTGATCGAACTATAGCTATTGTCTCGTACGTGTGTGTGTGTATGTCTATATGTGTGTGTGTGTGTTTTAGTTTGAGGAAGATATTATTTAAAACAGTGTCTTGTGTGTATGTGTGTGTGTGTGTGTTTTAGTTTGAGGAAGATAATATATGAAACATTGTCTTGAAGACTAGCTGCTAACGATTGCTAACCTGTTGGTTCGAGATTTTGTGAGCAGATTTCCCATGCAGACGACAAACGTCATTTATTCAAATCCAACTTCCTGTCTGTTTACAACTTCCGGTGTAAATTTGAAACACAGACACTCAAGGATGGCGTCGTCCCTGGCTCTAAAAAATGTAAACAGTTTTTAAAATGTAAACAATTTGACTTTTAAAATGTAAACAATTTGACTTTTAAAATGTAAACAATTTGACTTTTTAAAATGTAAACAAACGGACTTTAAAAACTCGTTTGAAAGGAAACATTTGATTCGGGGCCGTGATTAGTTAGTGTGTCATTAAACAAGTTTTGTCAACCAAATAGGTCTACTTGCCTCAGTTTGATTAACCGTACCGCTTGTACCCATATATTGTTAATGTAACCCTAGGGCTAAAGTTTAGCGTTAGCAGTAGGGCTAGATCTAGCGTGTGGTTAGGTTTGTAGTTGAAGTATCGTTGTTTGCGATACCAGCTTACATCTCGAGTATCTTTTCTACCAGAACTTACTGCTATCGTTACCGGTGGACTAGCGATGTATAGCCATATCCCATGCTGACTCCCACATTTAGCCATATCCCATGCTGACTCCCACATTTAGCCATATCCCATGCTGACTCCCACATTTAGCCATATCCCATGCTGACTCCCACATTTAGCCATATCCCATGCTGACTCCCACATTAAGCCATATCCCATGCTGACTCCCACATTTAGCCATATCCCATGCTGACTCCCACATTAAGCCATATCCCATGCTGACTCCCACATTTAGCCATATCCCATGCTGACTCCCACATTTAGCCATATCCCATGCTGACTCCCCCAGTTGTCTTGTTGTAGAGGCAGCGTCAGAAAATGAAAGCCACGCCCCAGAAAGTCACGTGCCCCTATTACGAGAAGAAACGAGACCCGCGAGATGAAGAGTTCCCCAACTTCTGCAAAGATCTCTTCGTGAGTACATCCGGTTCACTCACGTTAACATCTGGTTCACTCACGTTAACAACTATTTCACTCACGTTAACATCTGGTTCACTCACGTTAACATCTGGTTCACTCACGTTAACATCTGGTTCACTCACGTTAACATCTGGTTCACTCACGTTAACATCTGGTTCACTCACGTTAACATCTGGTTCACTCACGTTAACATCCGGTTCACTCACGTTAACATCTGGTTCACTCACGTTAACATCTGGTTCACTCAAACATCTGGTTCACTCAAACATCTGGTTCACTCACGTTAACATCTGGTTCACTCACGTTAACATTTGGTTCACTCAAACATCTGGTTCACTCACGTTAACATCTGGTTCACTCAAACATCTGGTTCACTCAAACATCTGGTTCACTCACGTTAACATCTGGTTCACTCAAACATCTGGTTCACTCACGTTAACATCTGGTTCACTCACGTTAACATCTGGTTCACTCACGTTAACATTTGGTTCACTCAAACATCTGGTTCACTCACGTTAACATCTGGTTCACTCACGTTAACATCTGGTTCACTCACGTTAACATCTGGTTCACTCACGTTAACATCTGGTTCACTCACGTTAACATCTGGTTCACTCACGTTAACATTTGGTTCACTCACGTTAACATCTGGTTCACTCACGTTAGCATCTGGTTCACTCACGTTAACATTTGGTTCACTCACGTTAACATCTGGTTCACTCACGTTAACATCTGGTTCACTCACGTTAACATCTGGTTCACTCACGTTAACATCCGGTTCACTCACGTTAACATCTGGTTCACTCACGTTAACATCTGGTTCACTCAAACATCTGGTTCACTCACGTTAACATCTGGTTCACTCACGTTAACATCTGGTTCACTCACGTTAACATCTGGTTCACTCACGTCAACATCTGGTTCACTCACGTTAACATCTGGTTCACTCACGTTAACATCTGGTTCACTCACGTTAACATCTGGTTCACTCACGTTAACATCTGGTTCACTCACGTTAACATCTGGTTCACTCACGTTAACATCTCGTCCAATCACGTTAACATCTGGTTCACGCACGTTAACAAAATTGTGCTAATGTTAACAAATGTTTACCCCCCCCCCCCCAGTTCTCAGCCTTCCCCGCCCCCATCCCTGACCGCAGGATTGATGACGATATTGAGACGGACCACAGCGAGTTCTTCAAACCCATGGCCAGCCTAGGGTCGGGCCGGCTAGGGAAGGTAGGTGGGGTGTGGGGCTGGGGGGGGGGGGGGGCTGTGGGGGGGGGGGGGGTAGGAGGGCGGGGGGTTCCTCAAGCCCATGGCCAGCCTAGGGTCGGGCAGGCTAGGGAAGGTAGGTGGGGCTGGGGTGTGGTGGGGGGGGGTGTGGGGCTGTGGGGGGGGGTGTGGGGCTAGGGGAGGACTGGGAGTTCTTCAAGCCCATGGCCAGCCTAGGGTCGGGCCGGCTAGGGAAGGTAGGTGGGGTGTGGGGCTGGGGGGGGGGGGGGGCTGGGGGTGAGGCTGGTGTGTGGGGCTGGGGTGTGTGTGGGGGGGGCTGGGAGTTCTTCAAGCCCATGGCCAGCCTAGGGTCGGGCCGGCTAGGGAAGGTAGGTGGGGTGTGGGGCTGGGGGGGTGGGCTGGGGGTGAGGCTGGTGTGTGGGGCTGGGGTGTGTGGGGGGGGGGGGGCTGGGAGTTCTTCAAGCCCATGGCCAGCCTAGGGAAGATAGGTTTCTTGTGGGGGGGGGGATGGTTTCAATCCCATATTCTAACCACCCATGTCAATCGTAATCCTTTCATCATCATCATCATCATCACTCCTTTATGGCCCCTGGGGAGCAAAGGGCTGCAACCACACATCTCCAGCGGACTCGGTTTTGGGCTGCTCCTCTGATCTGTGCTACCCCTCCCCAACTTTTAATCGCCCCCACCCCCAACCATTAATTGCCCCCACCCCCAACCATTAATTGCCCCCCCCCCCCCACCCCCAACCTTTAATCGCCATCCACCCCTACCTGCAGACGTTCACGGTCCTACGTAAGGACTTCACCAAGTACGCCTGCACCATTGTGAAGAAACAAGACCCCCGGATGTTGGTGGCCATGACTAAAATCGACTCGAAGAAAATCGACTACGTGGACGCCATCCGTGCCACCCAACCCTTTGTGTTGGACGAGAAGGAGTACTCGCCCTTCATCTGTCCCATCTTACTGCGCTTCAAGAGTCGCCTCCCATACCAAGTGGTAAACACAGCTGATGGTCTGATACAGCTTTGTTTGTCCATCTTCGTACAGCTTTGTTTGTCCATCTCCGTACAGCTTTGTTTGTCCATCTTCGTACAGCTTTGTTTGTCCATCTCCGTACAGCTTTGTTTGTCCATCTCCGTACAGCTTTGTTTGTCCATCTCTAAACAGCTTTGTTTGTCCATCTCTAAACAGCTTTGTTTGTCCATCTCCGTACAGCTTTGTTTGTCCATCTCTAAATAGCTTTATTGGTCCATCTCTAAACAGTTTTGTTTGTCCATCTCTAGACAGCTTTGTTTGTCCATCTCCGTACAGCTTTGTTTGTCCATCTCTAAATAGCTTTATTGGTCCATCTCTAAACAGTTTTGTTTGTCCATCTCTAAACAGTTTTGTTTGTCCATCTCTAAACAGTTTTGTTTGTCCATCTCTAAACAGTTTTGTTTGTCCATCTCTAAACAGTTTTGTTTGTCCATCTCCGTACAGCTTTGTTTGTCCATCTCTAAACAGTTTTGTTTGTCCATCTCTAAACACCTTTGTTTGTCCATCTTCGTACAGCTTTGTTTGTCCATCTCCGTACAGCTTTGTTTGTCCATCTTCGTACAGCTTTGTTTGTCCATCTCCGTACAGCTTTGTTTGTCCATCTCCGTACAGCTTTGTTTGTCCATCTCTAAACAGCTTTGTTTGTCCATCTCTAAACAGCTTTGTTTGTCCATCTCCGTACAGCTTTGTTTGTCCATCTCCGTACAGCTTTGTTTGTCCATCTCTAAATAGCTTTATTGGTCCATCTCTAAACAGTTTTGTTTGTCCATCTCTAGACAGCTTTGTTTGTCCATCTCCGTACAGCTTTGTTTGTCCATCTCTAAATAGCTTTATTGGTCCATCTCTAAACAGTTTTGTTTGTCCATCTCTAAACAGTTTTGTTTGTCCATCTCTAAACAGTTTTGTTTGTCCATCTCTAAACAGTTTTGTTTGTCCATCTCTAAACAGCTTTGTTACATCTGTATAAAATGTTGGCCTCACCAACTTGCCTGTATCTAGCCATGTACTCCGACAATCCGACTTTCTGTGTTTGTTATCTCTATAATATAGCATATTGTCTGATCCAATAATAACATCTTGACGTCCTGTCTCCCATAACGTCCTGACGTCCTATAACCTGTTGACGTCCTGTCTCCCAGGAACACTACTATTTCATCAGTGAGTACTGGCACAATGGGACGTCATTATGTCAGCACCTGCAGACGGTCGGACGTCTACCTGAGAACGTCGCCAGGTCAGTTCCTCCCCACCCCCACCCCCAGCATATGTCCTATTGCCTCACAACATATAACCTGTGGCTGACCAACATATAGCCTGTGGCTGACCAACATATAGCCTTTGGCTGACCAACATATAGCCTTTGGCTGATCAACATATAACCTGTGGCTGACCAACATATAACCTGTGGCTGACCAACATATAACCTGTGGCTGACCAACATATAACCTGTGGCTGACCAACATATAACCTGTGGCTGACCAACATATAACCTGTGGCTGACCAACATATAACCTGTGGCTGACCAACATATAACCTGTGGCTGACCAACATATAACCTGTGGCTGACCAACATATAACCTGTGGCTGACCAACATATAACCTGTGGCTGACCAACATATAACCTGTGGCTGACCAACATATAACCTGTGGCTGACCAACATATATGACCAACATATAACCTGTGGCTGACCAACATATAACCTGTGGCTGACCAACATATATGACCAACATATAACCTGTGGCTGACCAACATATAACCTGTGGCTGACCAACATATATGACCAACATATAACCTGTGGCTGACCAACATATAACCTGTGGCTGACCAACATATATGACCAACATATAGCCTGTGGCTGACCAACATATAACCTGTGGCTGACCAACATATATGACCAACATATAACCTGTGGCTGACCAACATATAACCTGTGGCTGACCAACATATAACCTGTGGCTGACCAACATATAACCTGTGGCTGACCAACATATAACCTGTGGCTGACCAACATATATGACCAACATATAACCTGTGGCTGACCAACATATATGACCAACATATAACCTGTGGCTGACCAACATATATGACCAACATATAGCCTGTGGCTGACCAACATATAACCTGTGGCTGACCAACATATAACCTGTGGCTGACCAACATATTATCTATGCGTTGCCTGCATGACCACTGGCCCAGAATTGACCAGCTAAACTTGCCAGTGTTGTTTTGTTGCCTGCACTGACCACTGACACTGACCACTGACACTGACCACTGACCACTGGCCACTGAGTACTGACCACTATCCACTGTCCACTGACCACTGGCCACAGACCTCTGACCCAGTGTTGTTATGTGCCTGTACTGACCACTGACCACTGACCTCTGACCACAGACCACTGACCACTGAGTACTGACTTGACCAGCTAAACTGGCCAGTGTTGTTTTGTTGCCAGGTTTTATCTGGTCGAGCTGGCGGACGCTCTGGTCTACATCCACCAGAAGGGGAAGATACTCAGGTAACTCACGTGTGTGTGGGGGGGGGGGGAGGGGGTCTGAACACGTGTGTGTGGGGGGGGTCTGAACTCATTCACGTGTGTGTGTGTGGGGGGGGGGTTGGATCACTCACGTATGTGTGTGGGGGGAGGGGGTCTGAACTTAGGTAACCAGTCGGAAGGTGTGTTGGTGCGAGCGGGGGGGGGGGGTCGGGGGTCTGAAAACAGGTAACTCACGTGTGGGGGGGGGGGGGGCGGGAGGGGGGGGGTCTGAACTTAGGTAACTCACTCACGTGTGTGTGTGTGGGGGGTCTGAACTTAGGTAACCAGTCGGAAGGTGTGTGGGTGCGAGCGGGGGGGGGGGGGGGGGGGGTTCGGGGTCTGAATTCAGGTGAATCAGTCACTTGTGTGTGGGGGGGGGGGGGGGGGGTCTGAAACGGGTTGCTTAGTGCAGTTTTTTAACTGTGTAAAATGTCCCCAACGTCTGCCCCCCCCCCTGCTACCCATCTCTTGTACTTACAGGCGCCTGTCCCTGTGCGCCCTGCTGATTGAGCCCTACGGCCACCTTAAGCTGGCGCCCTACTGCCTGTGTGAGCAGAACTTGGACTGTGGCCAGCCGTGCAACATGCTGGTCAGGAACTGTGGGGACCAGTTCTATGCGGCCCCGGAGGTTAGACACCACCCCCCCCGTCACATGCTATTTTGTTGGTCGTCTGACCTCTCACGTCTGACCTCTCACGTCTGACCTCTCTCGTCTGACCTCTCTCGTCTGACCTCTCTCGTCTGACCTCTCTGACCTCTCACGTCTGACCTCTCACGTCTGACCTCTCTCGTCTGACCTCTCTGACCTCTCACGTCTGACCTCTCGTCTGACCTCTCACGTCTGACCCCTCACGTCTGACCCCTCACGTCTGACCTCTCACGTCTGACCCCTCACGTCTGACCCCTCACGTCTGACCCCTCACGTCTGACCTCTCACGTCTGACCTCTCTCGTCTGACCTCTCTGACCTCTCTCGTCTGACCTCTCTGACCTCTCTCGTCTGACCTCTCTCGTCTGATCTCTCACGTCTGACCTCTCACGTCTGACCTCTCTCGTCTGACCTCTCTGACCTCTCTCGTCTGACCTCTCTGACCTCTCTCGTCTGACCTCTCTCGTCTGATCTCTCACGTCTGACCTCTCGTCTGACCTCTCACGTCTGACCTCTCGTCTGACCTCTCACGTCTGACCTCTCTCGTCTGACCTCTCTGACCTCTCACGTCTGACCTCTCTGACCTCTCTCGTCTGACCTCTCTGACCTCTCTCGTCTGACCTCTCTCGTCTGATCTCTCACGTCTGACCTCTCACGTCTGACCTCTCTGACCTCTCTCGTCTGACCTCTCTCGTCTGATCTCTCACGTCTGACCTCTCACGTCTGACCTCTCTGACCTCTCTCGTCTGACCTCTCTCGTCTGACCTCTCTCGTCTGATCTCTCACGTCTGACCTCTCACGTCTGACCTCTCTGACCTCTCTCGTCTGACCTCTCTCGTCTGACCTCTCACGTCTGACCTCTCTGACCTCTCTCGTCTGACCTCTCTCGTCTGACCTCTCTCGTCTGACCTCTCACGTCTGACCTCTCTGACCTCTCTCGTCTGATCTCTCTCGTCTGACCTCTCTGACCTCTCTCGTCTGATCTCTCTCGTCTGATCTCTCTCGTCTGACCTCTCACGTCTGACCTCTCTGACCTCTCTCGTCTGATCTCTCTCGTCTGATCTCTCTCGTCTGACCTCTCATGCCTGACCTCTCACGTCTGACCTCTCACGTCTGACCTCTCTGACCTCTCTCGTCTGATCTCTCTCGTCTGATCTCTCTCGTCTGACCTCTCATGCCTGACCTCTCTCGTCTGACCTCTCATGCCTGACCTCTCACGTCTGACCTCTCTGACCTCTCATGCCTGACCTCTCACGTCTGACCTCTCACGTCTGACCTCTCTGACCTCTCTCGTCTGATCTCTCTCGTCTGATCTCTCTCGTCTGACCTCTCACGTCTGACCTCTCTGACCTCTCTCGTCTGATCTCTCTCGTCTGATCTCTCTCGTCTGATCTCTCTCGTCTGATCTCTCTCGTCTGACCTCTCACGTCTGACCTCTCACGTCTGACCTCTCTGACCTCTCTCGTCTGATCTCTCTCGTCTGATCTCTCTCGTCTGACCTCTCACGTCTGACCTCTCTGACCTCTCTCGTCTGATCTCTCTCGTCTGATCTCTCTCGTCTGACCTCTCATGCCTGACCTCTCACGTCTGACCTCTCTCGCTTGTGTCTCCTCTGGTTCACATCACAGCCACCCAGTTTCTTTCAGACATCTCTTAGTGGGAGGGGTGAGCAGGGGCACCGAAGAAAATTTACCCATCCCCCATCTCGAACGAAAAACATTACAGGAAAATTTAAGAATGCCAAAAACACCCCCCCCCCCCCCCGAAAGTTTTTAGATTCACCCCAAGATGGATGTCTGAAAGGAACATTGAATATGCTGGGTACGACTATGCAGAATGAACTGCAACGGAGACAACTCTAGAATTGTTAGCTGCGCTTAAAAAAGGAGTTCTCTCTCTTGGTATCTCTGCATCCCTAAATGTTATTTTGTACAACTACTGCCACCCCATACAACCCACCCCTAATGATCTGACACCCCCCCCCCCCAGATTGTCTTTGGCGTGGATGTCCATTTTGCTGCCGACTGGTGGTCGTATGGTGTCATCATGTACCAGCTCCTCACTGGCCAGGTAAGCTTAGAGTTACAGCTCCTCACTGGCCAGGTAAGCTTAGAGTTACAGCTCCTCACTGGCCAGGTAAGCTTAGAGTTACAGCTCCTCACTGGCCAGGTAAGCTTAGAGTTACAGCTCCTCACTGGCCAGGTAAGCTTAGAGTTACAGCTCCTCACTAGCCAGGTAAGCTTAGAGTTACAGCTCCTCACTGGCCAGGTAAGCTTAGAGTTACAGCTCCCCACTGGCCAGGTAAGCTTAGAGTTACAGCTCCCCACTGGCCAGGTAAGCTTAGAGTTACAGCTCCTCACTGGCCAGGTAAGCTTAGAGTTACAGCTCCTCACTGGCCAGGTAAGCTTAGAGTTACAGCTCCTCACTGGCCAGGTAAGCTTAGAGTTACAGCTCCTCACTGGTCAGGAAAGCTTACAGTAACAAAAAATGTGAAAATAGACTCCTTCAAACCGTTGCCTAGTTCATGTTTTAAACTCCATGACCTTGACCCCCAGCTTCCGTTTACTGGGAGGACACTGGGCGACCTTGGCAAGGCCATCACAGAGTGTTCAGTGGAGATCCCAGACTTTGTGTCGGGGGAGGCGGCGGCGCTGATCAAGCACGTGAGTTGACCAGCACTCACCTGTCTTGTTGGTCTACACAACTATACGTTTGTTTGGTCTACACAACTATACGTTTGTTTGGTCTACACAACTATACGTTTGTTTGGTCTACACAACTATACGTTTGTTTGGTCTACACAACTATACGTTTGTCTGGTCTACACAACTATACGTTTGTTTGGTCTACACAACTATACGTTTGTCTGGTCTACACAACTATACGTTTGTTTAGTCCACACAACTATACGTTTGTTTAGTCCACACAACTATACGTTTGTTTGGTCTACACAACTATACGTTTGTCTGTTTGGTCTACACAACTATACGTTTGTTTGGTCTACACAACTATACGTTTGTTTGGTCTACACAACTATACGTTTGTTTGGTCTACACAACTATACGTTTGTTTGGTCTACACAACTATACGTTTGTTTGGTCTACACAACTATACGTTTGTTTGGTCTACACAACTATACGTTTGTTTGGTCTACACAACTATACGTTTGTTTGGTCTACACAACTATACGTTTGTTTGGTCTACACAACTATACGTTTGTTTGGTCTACACAACTATACGTTTGTTTGGTCTACACAACTATACGTTTGTTTGGTCTACACAACTATACGTTTGTTTGGTCTACACAACTATACGTTTGTCTGTTTTGTCTACACAACTATACGTTTGTTTGGTCTACACAACTATACATTTGTTTGGTCTACACAGCTATACGTTTGTCTGTTTTGTCTACACAACTATACGTTTGTTTTGTCTACACAACTATACGTTTGTTTGGTCTACACAACTATACGTTTGTTTGGTCTACACAACTACACGTTTGTTTGGTCTACACAACTATACGTTTGTTTGGTCTAAACAACTATACGTTTGTCTATTAGTTCTACACAACTATACATTTGTCTATTTGGTCTACACAACTATACGTTTATTTGTTTGGTCTATACAACTATACGTTTGTCTGTTTGGTCTATACAACTATACGTTTGTATGGTCTACAAAACTATACGTTTGTATGGTCTACACAACTATACATTTGTCTGTTTGGTCTATACAACTATACGTTTGTATGGTCTACACAACTATACGTTTGTATATTTGGTCTACACAACTATACGTTTGTCTGTTTGGTCTACACAACTATACGTTTGTATGGTCTACACAACTATACATTTGTCTGTTTGGTCTATACAACTATACGTTTGTATGGTCTACACAACTATACGTTTGTATATTTGGTCTACACAACTATACATTTGTCTATTTGGTCTACACAACTATACGTTTGTCTGGTCTACACAACTATACATTTGTCTATTTGGTCTACACAACTATACGTTTATTTGTTTGGTCTATACAACTATACGTTTGTATGGTCTACACAACTATACGTTTGTCTGTTTGGTCTACACAACTATACGTTTGTTTGGTCTACACAACTATACGTTTGTAGGTTTATTTTGGGATAAATTGTTTGGGCACCTCAGGCTCAAGTTTTCCGATCTCATAAATGTAAAACCAACTAAATGTCACACCACCTCAATGTCACACCACCCAAATGTCAAACCACCTAAATGTCACAAAACCTCAATGTCACACCACCCAAATGTAAAACCAACTAAATGTCACACCACCTCAATGTCACACCACCCAAATGTAAAACCAACTAAATGTCACACCACCTCAATGTCACACCACCTAAATGTCAAACCACCTAAATGTCATCCGTCATATGTCACCAGCTCCTACACAAGGACCCCAGAAGACGTCTGGGATTCAGCGATGACGTCAACAACGGAAGCGAGTCGGGGTCAGTAGCCGTCAAGAACCATCCGTTCTTCCAGAACATTCTCTGGCGAAACGTCAGGAACACGTTGTTGACTCCGCCTATGAAATTTGAAGACTGTAAGTGACGTCTGTTGTGTGTGACGTCTGTTGTGAGTGACGTCTGTTGTGTGTGACTTCTGTTGTGAGTGACGTCTGTTGTGTGTGACGTCTGTTGTGAGTGACGTCTGTTGTGAGTGACGTCTGTTGTAAGTGACGTCTGTTGTGTGTGACGTCTGTTGTAAGTGACGTCTGTTGTGTGTGACGTCTGTTGTGAGTGACGTCTGTTGTGTGTGACGTCTGTTGTGTGTGAAGTCTGTTGTAAGTGACGTCTGTTGTGTGTGACGTCTGTTGTGAGTGACGTCTGTTGTGTGTGACGTCTGATGTGAGTGACGTCTGCTGATATTTTGTTCCTTTTGTTCATTGTAGCCTCCTTCTGCTAGTCTTGTAAATAATGTAGTCTTCAGAAAATAAATAACTTGTCTGTTTTTTTTGCTCCAGTCAAAGGTGAAGTGGACGTCATAAGGGCGAGAAACCAGAAAAATCCAGTTGATAAATGATTTCAAAAGTAGCCTCCCTTTGACTAAATATTGCACGTCTTTTCGGCTTTAGGAATATAATTTTGGACTATTTTTTAATATATTTTTTAAATTTAAACTTTTTTAAAAATTGGCTACTAAGTACATTTGTCAGACCTATATTTGGTTGTCTAGAGGACAATTTTGTAGCGGTGTTTACATAACCGTGAGAATTTTAATGAGACGAATTTGTCCAGATGAAAAAAAAATTACTGGCTCTAAACCAAAGTTTACATTCAGCAAATGTGCTGATTATTTGATACAAGTTTAGTGAAAAAATAAAACGAGTAATAAAAAACATTTGACACGTTTTGTGTTCAGATACTTGTCTTCCTGTTCAGTCTGTTGCTGTCTACAGGTGTGGTTAGATTGTTGCTGTCTACAGGTGTGGTTAGATTGTTGCTGTCTACAGGTGTGGTTAGATTGTTCAATCTATTGCTGTCTACAGGTGTGGTTAGATTGTTGCTGTCTACAGGTGTGGTTAGATTGTTGCTGTCTACAGGTGTGGTTAGATTGTTCAATCTGTTGCTGTCTACAGGTGTGGTTAGATTGTTGCTGTCTACAGGTGTGGTTAGATTGTTCAATCTATTGCTGTCTACAGGTGTGGTTAGATTGTTGCTGTCTACAGGTGTGGTTAGATTGTTGCTGTCTACAGGTGTGGTTAGATTGTTGCTGTCTACAGGTGTGGTTAGATTGTTGCTGTCTACAGGTGTGGTTAGATTGTTGCTGTCTACAGGTGTGGTTAGATTGTTCAATCTGTTGCTGTCTACAGGTGTGGTTAGATTGTTGCTGTCTACAGGTGTGGTTAGATTGTTCAATCTGTTGCTGTCTACAGGTGTGGTTAGATTGTTGCTGTCTACAGGTGTGGTTAGATTGTTGCTGTCTACAGGTGTGGTTAGATTGTTGCTGTCTACAGGTGTGGTTAGATTGTTGCTGTCTACAGGTGTGATTAGATTGTTCAATATGTTGGGCACTATGACGTCACTACGTTCAATGTAATCGACTATCCAAGCAGAAGTTTTCAAACACTGTATTTACAAAATTTAGATGAAGATGGAGACTACATTTTGTCCACAGACAGAATTGGGTCGGTTAAATCTCGACAATTCACAAAAAAAACCGGCTTCAGTGAAACCACTGGTCAGAACCGTCAATTTAAATTTGATGTCAAAGATTGGAAAAAACAAGGCATTAGCATCCAGCGAGTGGGTCAATGACCTGACCACCTAACCAGTGGCGTAGGCAGGGGGGTTAGGGGGGGGGGTCATAGCCCCCCCCCCCCCATAGACCCCTCGGTATATATAAAAAGTATAAGGGGGGTGCAAATCGAAAGTTTGAGGGGGGGGGGTGCAACCGGAAGTTTGAGGGGGGGGGAGGTGCAAATCGAAAGTTTGTCCCCGGCAAGTTACTGCATTCTATTTTTACTAGGTGGGGGAGGTGTTAATTATACCTTGTATTTTCATAACCACCTTGTCAGTGAGGTGCTGACTGTGAGCAGTTCTTGTCTCGAAAGTGTCGAGGTTAAGAATTGAAGCAGGATTTTTTTTCTCGGCCCCATCAAATTCGGTCCCTTAAAAGTGTGACCCATCAAAGTGTGACCCATGTGACCCATCAAAGTGTGACCCATGTGACCCATCAAAATGTGACCCATCAAAGTGTGACCCATTAAAGTGTGACCCATCAAAATGTGACCCATCAAAATGTGACCCATCAAAGTGTGACCCATTAAAGTGTGACCCATCAAAGTGTGACCCATCAAAGTGTAACCCATCAAAGTGTAACCTATGTGACCCATCAAAATGTGACCCATCAAAATGTGACCCATCAAAGTGTGACCCATCAAAGTGTGACCCATCAAAGTGTGACCCATCAAAGTGTGACCCATCAAAGTGTGACCCATCAAAGTGTGACCCATCAAAGTGTGACCCATCAAAGTGTGACCTATGTGACCCATCAAAATGTGACCCATCAAAGTGTGACCCATCAAAATGTGACCCATCAAAGTGTGACCCATCAAAGTGTGACCCATCAAAGTGTGACCCATCAAAGTGTAACCTATGTGACCCATCAAAGTGTGACCCATCAAAGTGTGACCCATCAAAGTGTGACCCATCAAAGTGTGACCCATCAAAGTGTGACCCATCAAAGTGTAACCCATCAAAGTGTGACCCATCAAAGTGTGACCCATCAAAGTGTGACCCATCAAAGTGTGACCCATCAAAGTGTGACCCATCAAAGTGTGACCCATCAAAGTGTGACCCATCAAAGTGTGACCCATCAAAGTGTGACCCATGTGACCCATCAAAGTGTGACCCATGTGACCCATGTGACCCATGTGACCCATGTGACCCATGTGACCCATGCAATTGTGACCCACTATTGTTTTACTCTCAACGCGACAAGCTGACGCAAGAACGTAGTCTTGGTTAAACACTGATCTAAAAGTTGCACTCAATTTGTTCTTATAGATCTGTTGTGCCTTCAGATCACTCACCGACATAAACGGACTTCCTGATTCAATTTTTTAGGATTTCGTCATGACAAGATAAACGGAAGTCAGCGTTTCTATGGCAACACACAGACCTGACGCCAGGAATCTGGGCGAGACAGGCGTCAGGACGTTGACCTACTGGTGCCAGATTTGTCGGGCGAGGTGTCAAGATGACGCAAGAGATTCTCCCCCCAGCCCCACCCCAGCCCCACCCCCAGCCCCACCCTACAATTTGGCTAAGACGTCACACGTATATCAGATATACCCGATATCAGACGATTGTATGAAAAAAAGTCACAGGAAAAAAAAACACAGGAAAAAAAAAACACAGAAAAAAAGTCACAGGAAAAAAAGTCACAGGAAAAAAAGTCACAGGAAAAAAGTCACAAATATATATTTGCATGATATTTGTTAATACTTTTATGTATTAAATATTTAGAGAGTGCAAATTAACTTAGGATTAATTAAATGTAATGTAATGTGTGTAGGCTGTATACGCATAGGAATTTTTATAATTCATCTAAATATATTTATTATGAAGTATGTAGATTGTAATCATGTTAAACTTAAGATTAGTAGCATTTAATAGAATGCTCCAAAGTCCAAGTTTTTCATCGTGTGTTTTTTTTTTTTAAATACCAACATTAAATTACCGTGAAATGGTAAGTTCGTTTGACTTGCTGCCTTCGACTCATGGCAACAATAGTTATATTTAGTTGAACCACCTTTACTGCCCACATTTATCACGCTCATTACATAAAAAAAACTTAGGATCAAAACAGAAAGCCGACAATGTTCAAAGGCTGTCATTGATGCGTAACGTCAACAGCACAAAATATGTTCGGTCAATGCCTACTGAGGAGAGGCCGACCAGAGAATAGCCTACGGCAAAATTTGCCTAAATTTCTTTTATAATTAACTTTTCTACCGCGTATTTAACTAAATACGTAAAAAGTTGAGATTTTTGAGTAAATTATCTTAGAGTATTTCTTACTTACAATTGTTATAAATCATAATGCTTTTAACGTCTATAAATAATTTATGCTATAAAAAATACAACCCACAACAATAAACATACACAATTTTACAATTCTTAACAAATTAATAAAAATATTTCTAAAAAGATTTTTGTGACTTTTTTTCTGTGACTTTATTTCTGTGACTTTTTTTCCGATAAAATTTTTCCACTGTGACTTTTTTCTGTGACTTTTTTTCCTAGCAAAAACTGTGACTTTTTTTCTGTGTTTTTTTTTTCCTGTGACTTTTTTTCCGTTTACCTATCAGACAAGGGTGGGGGATGAACGTGTGTGTGTGTGTGGGGGGGGGGGGTTAAAAGTCGGTAGAAAAAAGAGGCGAATATCACAGTCGAAGTTTACACTCAGCTAAAAATAACTGCAGGTCAAAGACAAATTTCTTGTGGCAGACATTGTCTGGTTGACGGGCAGACGTTGATGACATGACACGTCTGCTGACTTGACATTTGTCTGTATGACGTAAGTCTCTGACGTCATGACTTGTCAGTGAAAGCGTGTTGCTAATGAGAGTGAGTAATGAAATCAATTTGAGCTCGTCAATAGCCTTGACGTGCACGTGAGACGTGAGTAAAACATCACGCGCTGGAGACACCTGCTCATTGATGAGCTCAGTATAAACTTACATACACATACACTTGATACAGCCAGTATACACTTACATACACATACACTTTATACACTCACATACACATACACTTTATACAGCCAGTATACACTTACATACACATACACTTTATACACTCACATACACATACACTTTATACAGCCAGTATACACTTACATACACATACACTTTATACACTCACATACACATACACTTTATACAGCCAGTATAGACTCACGTACACATACACTTTATACAGCCAGTATACACTCACATACACATACACTTTATACAGCCAGTATACACTTACATACACATACACTTTATACACTCACATACACATACACTTTATACAGCCAGTATAGACTCACGTACACATACACTTTATACAGCCAGTATACATTCACGTACACATACACTTTATACAGCCAGTTTACACTCACATACACATACACTTTATACAGCCGGTATACAATCACATACACATACACTTTATACAGCCAGAATACACTTACATACACATACACTTTATACATTTGCCAATAGAATAGACCACCCACTGCTAATCATGAACACATCCAAAACAACAAATACATTGTACAGCCTTTCCCACATGAAGCCGCTACCAGTGGCCACAGCTAGTGTAACATGTAGCCACTAGTGTTTCTTCCAGACTTTTTTTTCTCCGGGGGGGGGGGGGGCTTTTGATATTTTCGGGGGGGGGGGGGCGGAGACTGGTAAAAGTATATATTTTCTATATAAATTTCGATTGGGGGGGGTAGCGGTAGATGCCTGGAAGAAACTCTGGCAGCACTATATCTAGAACCATGTAGACTGTACCATGAAACACCATGTAGACTGTACCATGAAACACCATGTAGACTGTACCATGAAACACCATGTAGACTGTACCATGAAACACGACGTAAACTGTACCATGAAACACCATGTAAACTGTACCATGAAACACCATGTAAACTGTACCATGAAACACCATGTAAACTGTACCATGAAACACCATGTAGACTGTACCATGAAACACCATGTAAACTGTACCATGAAACACCATGTAAACTGTACCATGAAACACCATGTAAACTGTACCATGAAACACCATGTAAACTGTACCATGAAACACCATGTAAACTGTA